ATATATATATATATATATATATATATAGAGAGATTATAGTTGTTTCATTGAGAGAAAACTGTATATTTTTGGTTATAATGTAGATTTTTTTTTTAATATATATATATATATATATTATACTTTTTTTTTGCTATACCAATGTTTTGGGTCTTGTGACCTTCAAGCAAAGCATGATTATTTCCAAATATTATTTAAAGGAATTAATTTTTTTTTCTTATGTTTAACCATTGTCTTTTGTGTGTGGTAGTAATCCAAATTCTTCTTGGACTGGTGGTAAAAAATCTTCCTTTGCTTAAGGGGCAATAAAACAATTAGGATTGGTCAGGAAAAGGAATGAGGTCTTTGTTAACTTTTTATGTCCTCTGTATCTTTTTAAACCTTTCTCCATTTTTATGTATTGTGTGTGTGTGTGTGTATATATATATATATTACACGTGTGTGTGTGTATATATATTTGTTCTCCATACATATATACTATATATTATAAAGAAATCTATACAGTAACTACATATATTTTGTATGGTATGTTTGTGGTCTGACTAGCGTGTTTTGCCACTTTAGTGCTAGTTTAAAGTCTGATATATTGGCATAATTTTAAACTTATATTTGTTGCATTTGCAGATATGTTGTGACACACAGTTTCCTGTTGTAATTTAATGTTCCCTTTTTGTGAAGGGAAACTTGTTTAGTACTTAGGTGATACCTATATAGGATTTGTTGCATTTTGTGCACAAATCACATTTTTGGAATTGCAGTTTAAGTTTTCCTTTATTGAAAATGTTAAGTTTTAATTCTAGCCAATTTCATTTAGATTCTTTTTCTTTCTACATTGGGATAACAGAAGATCTGCCAAGAATGGTGAAATGTAAAAATGTGTGCACAAATTTACTGAAGATGAACTAGTGATTAAAGCACTGTGTGTGTAAGTAAATAAAGACAAAATGTAAACTTAGCTGATGCCTTTCATCCTATGAGGGACTTTATAAGGACAAATACAAGGTGTTTATTTTGTAACATTTATATACAATATCAAAAATGTTATTGGTTTTCCAAAAGTTTTTAAATTTAAGGATTCTCATAAATATTCATCAGATTAGCCAAAATGTCTATCAAACATTTATGAGCATTTCAAAAATCCAATAACATTTTTAACCCTGTATATAAAAAAAATCCTTGCATTTACCTTGATGATGTCCCTCAGAGGACGAAATACGTTGGCAAAGTTTTCCTTTTATCTTTATTCATGTTGTACTTTTACAGATATACTCTATCTGAAATATATGAGAAGAATTATAGTCTTAAGATGTGCTATATTTACAGGATAAAGTGCTCAATATCAGAGATAGAGCATGTGTAAATATAATAGTGAACATAGAAGTCAACACTTAGAGGCAACAGTCTGTTTCATGCTAGATGCAATCGTCAGGCCACGAATGCTGTCATTTTTCTCAGCTATTTATATATACGGGTCAGTGGTGCATTGTGGGTAGTCTATTTCGGCGGTTATTTTATTTTATATATTTAGTTCATGCCACATTGACTGATAAACTCCTACAACAAAAAAAATTTTCAAATTGCCATATTAGTAAAAAACGCACTCTCTTAAATTTTCAAAAAAAATTCTACCTTAGCATTGCGACTACATGCTTCAAAAGTTTGTATCCAATATCAATAACACATTTCAAAAAAACATATTTCGATTCGCATTATATTTTTTCATCTCGGAAGCTTCCTGAATTTTACTAAAAACAATTTCCATGCTTGAAGATGAGTCAATGTACAGTTGAAAGTACTTGTGTATTAAAGAAAGACCTTATACAGCTTATAATTTTAAAAAACAAGGATCATAGCATTCATAGAGTGATTTGTAGGTTAATCCATCTTTAAAATTTTGTTAGCGACAGGATTTCACCATTTTATATCATTAACTTTACTAATTTACTTTTTGTATGAATGATTAATTGTAATATATAAAATTTACACTTTTATTTAAATGCAGGCTGGTATAGTACAAAGCAACAGTTATTGGTCATTGAAATTAAAACACTAGCTAAATGATTTGACAAAAATCTTGTTAAACATTACATGACAGTAAATATTATAAGTGTATCTACTAAGTTTTACACAAAGCTATAAGCCTGGAACATTCAGCAACAACAGTAATTGTTTAAGATTTACTTAAGACTTATGAGTGTTTTCTTAATAGGTCTTCCAATTTTATTATTATATATTAAGTGGGTAAATTGAGAGAGAATTTATTTAAAAAAAAAAAAAGCAATGATTTTATTTTTTATATAAAACAATTTTCTTGATATAAAAAAAAAATCATTTCTTTCTAAAACAGCAGTACATTACAAAATACTTTTAAAATAACAGATCTTTTCATCAAGTAAATAAAATTTATCTTTAATTTTAACAATCCATTCCTTAATATTTATATAGAAGATTGGAATTCTATTTGTGCAAATAAGTTGAAAAAGAAACAATAATGATTACAGTAGTTATTGGTTTCCTGGATTCTAACATTTTTTAGCAAGTAGATTTTTACTGGGTAGGATTATAAACTCCATCTACAGTTTTGTAACTTTTATCCATAGATGGGGATAGGAATGGATTCTATTCCTGGTTTTGCAGTCAGAATTATCCTTCTCATAGACTGGTTACTAGCTAAGGCTACTAAAAGGCCTATTATGTCCTGATCTTTTAGCCAAAAGTTTTCAGCCTGACCAATTTCCTTAAATCTAAACAAATGATCAAACATCAGAACTGGAGTGTGGGGGAAGATCCTTGCTTACTCAGACCAAGTAATTTTCAACACTCTTCATACTTTTTATTTCTGGCTTCATTTTTAAAAAAAAAAAAAAAAAAAAGATAGTAATCAGTAATAAGGGTTAAAACATCAGCACTCACAATGGTACTTCTCTGAATTTGACTGGCCGGGGTGGTGGGTGAGATGACTTTCTCAGCTGTGAAGGAAGAGTTGATTGGACAGGAGCTACTAGTGGGCTGTTCACATTGGTCTTGGACATGGCTCTTTGGAGATCAGTGGTGCCAGCATATCGGATGTTCGTATATTCTCGACCATCAACTTGGCTCATCTAAAATTACAATTTTAATTACAAACGTTTTGGATTTAAGAAAAATTATAAAAGAAAATTTTGGGAAAGAACACTAAAAGGTCAATTTTTTTTTTTTTTAATAATCATTATAGAATTCATTGTTGTTCCAGTTAACACAAAATATATTGTCTAAACAGTGGAATGTATTTTTTTCTTCAAAAGAAATAAAAATTGAAAAAAAGTAAATTAAAAAGACAAAATAAAACAATTTATAGCTAAATCAGGAATTAAGTGCCAAATACATTAGATGTTTTTGAAATAAAAACAATCTCACCCAAATTATACAAATACACTAATGTACCAAAAAAAGAAAGAAAGATAGTAATCATTAATAAGGGTTAGATAGCAGTATGTACAGGTAATAGTAGGTGGCACCACCATCCACCGATATGATGGAAATGCCCAAACCTATAACAGAGATGTGCTCTAACATCAGCTGAGTCAGTATGAATGTCAGCTAGGAGGTTCATGGCAAGGCAATGAATTAGAGTTTGAATAGGGCATGTTAGTGGATGAGAGATGGACAGGACATTCCATTTTTGTCATTGTGGGGACATTTAATATCACCTCAATCAACAATGTTACATGTATGAGAAATACATAGTGTAAACCAGTGGCGGACCACTGGTTTGTGACCAGGGTTGTCTGTTTAGAATTGTTTGTGGTAACAGGTAAGTGACACTGGCTAAAATCACTCAGCACTTCATCTGGACTCCAAACATGACTAAGTAAATCCTGGAGGACTGGCAATGTGTGGCACAGTCTGGGGAGTCTTGGTTTTAGTTGTTTTAAGTTGATGATAGTGTTTGTCCGTTGTGTAAATTCCAGAAAACCACGAACCCAACTTGTCAACAAGGTACCGTGTTACTCCTAAACAACAAAACTGGCTGTTATTCTATAATGGTGTTGGGTGTGTACAAGTGGTATGGGTTGGGTCTGCAGGTTCACTTAAACATATTATTGACTCGTGACTGCTATATTACACTGTTCTATTTACCATTGTGTTATTCCAGCATTATCCTGCTGGAATAATACAATGTCATCAGGCCAAAATTACCCAGAATTGGTCTGAGAAGCATTCTGGAGAAATTATCTGGCATAAGTCCAACTGAGCAATTATGGGACATGTTAGAGAAGTCTAATTGCATACAAGGTCCTGCACTTATAAATACTGAAATGGCTTGACTCAACATATCTCCAGAGGTCTTCTTAAAACTCATGGAATTGATGTCATGTTGAGATGCTGCACTTTATCTTGATAGTGTCCTATAGAATATGATGCATGTATTATTGACATACATAAGTTTTTTTTGTTGTTTTTTTTTTTTTTTTAAAGGTTTACAAGTTTTTTTTAATTATTTTTTTTTTTTTTTGAGAATTTGAATTTGTAGAAAGGCATGTCTTGTTCAAAGGCCTTATGGAATTTTAATACTGGTTTTTTTTTTCCTTTCAATACAATAGAACAGATTTTCTTGGAGTAGCAAGTTCTTATGTTTTACATGAATAACATGAGTAAGCATTATCTGAATGCAATCGTTGATAAGTCTCTGACTCAGCAATGTTATAGCCTCCGTGATAAATTTTTGAACAATCATTTACTAATTTTAGAATAGTACTTTTGTGGATTTATTTTAAAAGTTGATAAAAGACGAAGCCTTAGTAAAACAAATATGGATAAAAACTAAAACAAGTGGCACTTCAGATAATCTTCATAACTTCCTTTACATTGAGTCAAAATTTGTATGTCTCATTTTAAAATTAATTTTTAGAAAAAAAAAAAAAAAATACCATTAGTTACAAGAATAATTATGAAATAAATATTTACTATGCTTGATTTTAGTCTGGCCCAAGGCCACAGGAAGTCATCTAGTAATGTACAAACTAAGAAAGAAAAAGAAAGAAAGAAGAAAAGAAAAAGAAAGAAGAAAAAGAAAAAGAAAAAAAGAAAAGAAAAGAAAAAGAAAAAGAAAAAAAGAAAAAGAAAGAAGAAAAAGAAGAAAAAAGAAAAAAAAAAAAAAAAAAAAAAAAAGAAAAGAAAAGAAAAAAAAGAAAAGAAAAGAAAAAGAAAAGAAAAGAAAAAAAAAAAAGAAAAGAAAAAAGAAAAGAAAAAGAAAAGAAAAGAAAGAAAAAAAAAGAAAAAAAAGAAAAGAAAAAAAAAAAAGAAAAAAAAAAGAAAAGAAAAGAAAAGAAAAAGAAAAAAAGAAAAGAAAAGAAAAGAAAAAAAAAAAAAAAAAGAAAAAGAAAGAAAAAGAAAGAAAAAAAAAAAGAAAAAAAAAAAAAGAAAAAAGAAAAAAAAGAAAAAGAAAAAGAAAAAAAAAAAGAAAAGAAAAGAAAGAAAAAAAAAGAAAAAAGAAAAAAAAAAAGAAAAGAAAGAAAAAAAGAAAAGAAATGAAAAAAGAAAAGAAAAAAAAAGAAAAGAAAAAAAGAAAAAAAGAAAAAAAGAAAAGAAAAGAAAAAAGAAAAGAAAGAAAAAAGAAAGAAAGAAAAAAGAAAGAAAAAGAAAGAAAAAAGAAAAGAAAGAAAGAAAAAAGAAAAAAAAAAAAAGAAAGAAAAAGAAAGAAAAAAGAAAAAAAGAAAGAAAAAAAAAGAAAAAAAGGAAAAGAAAAAAGAAAATGGAAAAAAGAAAAAGAAAGAAAAAAAGAAAGAAAGAGAGAGAGATTCTTTTTTAATCCTAGGTTAAGATATGTCATGCTCTTCATGGAAGAGAAAAAAAAAATCAGTAATAGAGGCTGTGATTCTGCAATTTGGAAAGTACAATTGCAAAGACTCATCACTCACGTAATAATTTCATCATTTTAAAAATTACCTATGATTTTGTAGAAGTTATCTAAAACAAATCATTAACGCACACGTTTAAAAGAAGGAAAACTGTGTTAAAAACAAAAAAACTTGCCTGTTCTGCTTGTAACCGTTGGATTGTGTCAATATACTGTTGAACTGCTAAATACACAAACTTGTACTGGGCTTCTGTTTGTACAAGTCCTGAACGCTGCGAACGCACCATTTGGATTGTTTTCTGGATGTCAATCTCACAGTCCAAACCTAAAATACAGAAAAATACAATAATCAATAAATTTACCAAAAAACAGGTATTATCACAATGGTGATGCTGAAATTCACTGTTTACATACAGGAAACATTCAGCATTTTTAGCTGAACAGTTAGCATTACTCTCAGTTGAAATTTATAAAATCTTTCTCGTAAGACAGTTTTGCAAGAAATTAAACTTCTCAAGTCTACTAACTGTTATAGCTCTTTCTAGTATTGATGGAAGTTTCCTCCCAAACCTTTTATATTTATAGTTGAGGAAGGAGCAGCATTTTTGTCTTTAATATTAAATTCACTCGTACCTCCATTATACTGACAGAAGGAAGAATGATTAGGTAGATTATGAAGAGAATGAAAACCCTGAAGAGAGTGGCATACACTGGTTCACGAAGGTTAGTGATAAGAAAAAAGATTCCCCTACTATATTCAGGTTTAAGATGTTCAAATTTTAGGTTAGCATCTCACATGATATATCACACATACATAACCCATTTGGGAGTGACTTTGTCACAATTTGCAAATGATTTTCTGAAATTAATCTAAATGTAATTTCAATTTGTTGTGTCCTCATCTTTAAATGCAATAGCAGAAAGATATGTAAATAATAAATTACATTTAAAAGTAGGAAAATATCTTACCATGTCTCTTGATTTTATCAATAATCATGTCTATCACAATAAAAGTGCCTGTTCTTCCAATGCCAGCACTAAAAAAAAAAAAAAAAACAAAGAAAGAAAAAGGAAGTTGTTTTTTTTGTTTTTTTACTGTAAGTAAAATGAACAAACTATCTTTCTAATGGAAACTTTTGTGATTGGAAGTAAAACTTCCCAAAATAAAAAAATAAAAAATTGTAATATTGAATATCTTATTTAAAAGAGAATAAATATTAGAATATGAATAAAATTTCTAATTAAATGCTTAATAAAAGCAACAAAAAAAATCAAACCAAAAAAAACATTGACACTATTGAGAGTTTATACAAGATTGAGTAAAATAAACCGATTACATAAAAATTAAGTAAATCACAATTTGAAAATCATAAGTGACTAGTTTTATGCATGTAAAAATATATATCTCAGTAAAATAATTTTATGGACAAAATCATTAAATGATACTGGTACATTCTCCTGGGACACTTAACACACAAAAAAGCATATATGGAAAATTTTAAATAACTAATTTTCATATGTGTGAAAATATGGAAAATTTTAAGTAACTAGTATTTGTGTACACACACACACACACACACATATATATATATATATATATATATATATATATACTTAAGAATAGTTCAAAAGTAAAGCAGATATTTTCATATAGTGCTCAATATTAGAGCTTTGATAATATTATATACATAAAAGTTACTTAACTGTAAATATCAATTCTTGATGTTTCCCCAACTTCAAAGATTTTGGGAATTATCCATTCTTCAAGGGGTCTGTTGTTTGAATAAGTTTATTTCCAACTTTTTCAGGTCTTTTTTAATCTGTCGTGCACACACACACGTTCATAAGTTTTACATTTTTTTTTTTTTTTTAAAAACACACACATTCATGAATTTTTGCTTTTGTATGTGTTTGTTCATACGTGTCATAATTTTTCCAATTGTAACTTGGAATATTTTTCTGATATTAGTTTTTGTAGGAGTTAGTAGTCTACATGTTGGCTTATTTAAATTTATATAGGGGCAACTGTAACCACTTTTAAAGAAAGATTTGATAATCATGTCATTTAAAATAGATAAAAACGCAAATAATACAACATTATTAAAATGTATATGGAGTCAAAAACAAAAATAATATACCTACTAAAGTTAAATGGGAAATTAAAAAAAAAAAAAGCACCCCCATATTATATTACCTATAGGAATTGTAGACTGTGTTTAGAAGAAAAATTATCAATATTATGTTTATTTTTGCTTTGTTTTGATATTTAGTTTGTTTTGGTGTTCACCCCTCCCCTTTCATGATAATTCATCTGATTTGTATATATATTGTAAATAATATTTATCATGTCATTGGGATGTTTTTATTTTTTATAAAAAAAAAAAAAAAAAGATGCACACACGAATTTCAGCCGTGCTCAACACATGAAGCTTGGAATAAATTCTCCTACTAATATTCAAAACAACACAAACATGAAGAGAAATTAACACCACCTAAAACAACACCCCCCCCCTTGAAAATGGCTAAAGAAGTGGCTGAAAATACTTGGAAAAATGGACAATATGGGCGATTTTTGAACTCCCTTACTCCCAATAAATAGAAAAAATGTAAGAATGCTGGAAAAACTAAATAAAATGAATTAAATTTTCTTTGTCATATTCAACAAAACATATTTAAATGAAAAGTTGCTGTCCATATATATATATATATATATATATATATATATATATATATATATATATATATATATGCTATGAGTAAAATAGCAGGACAGACTGGGTTCTATAGCCTTGGATGGCAACTGGTCTAGGAGAAGGACGACTCTGAATTCAAAACCTGCGGAGGGTCGTTTGGGAACCTTGTGCACCAGGTCTCTGTATGCGTCCCTTCAAAAAGTGTGGATGGTCCTGCACGAGGCCTTCACCACTATAATCAAATCTCATGTGCTGGTGTCGGGCTGCCGGTTTCCTGGAAACTGATCTGCTTGACCCTCATACGTCGAATCTCGATGGGAGAGTCGATTATTATATATATATATATATATATATATATATATATCTCAGTGAGAAATTTTATGCCAATCCTTTTGATGAAATTTACAGACTCAGGTTTAAAGAAAATTATTTTAATCATATAAGCCAGAAACACTGCTAACTCAAGAATTGTAATAAATAAATGTTGTTTTTTAAAATAAAAAAAATGACAAAAAATAATCCCATGTAAAGTTCATTTTTATTTTTACAAAAACAAGTAAAATAAAGAAAATCTGAAGTTAATCTTAACTGATATTTTATTACTATCTCCATACTTTAAAATTCAATTTCAAGGGATTTCAAGGTCGTATTTTATGTCTATATACAACAATAATGACATAAGGTGTGTCCCCCAAAAGGGTCACATCTATTTGGAGTAAGAGAATTTTCCTTCATATGAATTATTACTAATGAAACTTTTATGACAGACAATGTGTAACATTTTGGCTCATTTTTATTCAATCACAAATCCCATAACTGATTAGTCATAAGAAAACCACATGTACTGAAGCCACAGTAAAAGTGGTGTCTCTTGGGTAAGATAGACTGATGGAGCCCAACCCTCTCCAGGCTGGTTTGAATTCAGAGTTTTCTTTCTCCTAGAGAACCCAGTCTGTTCTGCTATTTATCCATAGCTGGGGGAGAAGAGATAGATTCATACTGTCCCCAAAGGTATTAGCACATAAGTGAATGTAATGAACTCAACTAGATTTTGAACTTGGCTCTCCAATTCCTCAATCCAAGCCACAATTCATTACTCCACTAAGCCTCATTTTTATTATCCCACTTTAAAAGCTGCAGATAAATTTCACTTATAAATGAAGAAAATTTTCAGATTCATGATCTGCAAATCAACTAATGAAAGTGTAATGGAAACTTGGTAAATGCTAACAGAAGGGTAACAATAAATGATATAGAAAAAGCCCTTTTTCAACATGCCAGCGAGGTTAGAAAAAACAAAACAAAACAAAAAGAAAAAACAAACATACTTTAAGTAAAAGCACTTACCTGCAGTGTACAATAAACGGTCCTGCATCAGGGATAGATTCTTGTTGTTCATTAACAATCTGTAGGAAATTTAAAACTGTACCATGGTCTGAGGGAACACCATAATCTGGCCATATCATAAAATGGTACTGGTATATTCTCCTGGGACCCTCTGTCTAACACACAAAAAGCAAATATGGAAAATTTTAAATAAACTGATTAACACAATTCAACAATTTGTTTATTTGAATTTATGAATAGGTTTGTTCCTTCCAATCAAAGTCCTTGACATTTTGGCTTTTATTATGACATTTCAACCAATGTGACCATCAGATTTCACTTATACTTAGTAAACTTCCAGTAATTCTGAATAGAAACCTTTATTATAGAGAGCCTAATACAAAAGAGAACCCACTGAATCAAAATTCTTCAAAGATTATTTAAATCATGTGAGGAAAATGCAAAAGTACAGTGGCCAAAAAAATTGTAATTAGAAAAAATAGAAAGGAAGAAAATGGTTCTTATAAAAAAAAAATCAATGTATTATAATTAGTATACAATTTACTTTCAGTGAATAAACTAACATTTTGTGAAGATGTTTTTAATTTATTGTTTTCATGAAAAAATTCAGAAAAAAAATAACAAAAAATACAAATTCAGAAAAAAATTTATTTTATTAAATTTACATTTAAATTTTTTCACTTTCTATTTTTTTATAATTAAAATAAAATGAATATCTTAACTAATTGCTTGTCTTAGAGACTTAAAATCTTAATACGAATTCATTTTGGCATATAATCTTGAAACAATTTAATTTGCTATTGAGCTTACTTTTACAGCATTGTTTTTACTGTGATGTCAATGAACACTCGTTGCCACTTTCATAACGTCAACGAATACTCGTTGTAGTAGAGACTTTGTAATTGCAGATATAAATATAGTAATGCCATTGAACAATACTGGTGTCAAATGCCTTCAAAAACACTTGCACTAATAGTACTTGCTCGAAAAGTAACCACTGAATAGTAATTTGTATAGTAATCAGTATAGAGAAATAGTATAGAGATAGAAGATAGTGTAGAAAGAGTGATCCGTATAGTAATAGAGGATAGAATAGAAATAGTGATCAATTAGATGCTACGCTAATTCCCATATATATATACATTTCCTTTACTATCACAGGATCTACTTATTCAAAATGGGATCACCTGTGTTTGCTCACTGGCAATCTATGTTCAAACTCCAGTGTCAGCAGCAACACTTTATTTCGGTTTTTTTTAACAACATCAGAACCAGAAATGTTACATAAGCCTGCCATTTTGTTTACTTTTAAATAAATATAGAACAACTAGCAGGACCCTGTTATGGTTAACTAGTAGGAAT